GACTTGGGGACATTGGGAATGGGGCACAGGGACACCAGGGAGGGGGGCTCGACATGGGGACACTGGGCAGGAATGGGCCTGGGACTTAGGGACAATGGGAAAGGGTGGCCCTGGGACGTGGGGACACCGAGGAGTGTCCTGGGACAGGGGAACAACGGGGAGGGTGGCACTGGGGTGTCCTGGGACAGGGGGACACCAGGGCAGGTGGCACTGGGGTGTCCTGGGACAGGAGGACAGTGGGGAGGGTGGTACTGGGGTGTTCTGGGACATGGGGACACCAGAGAGGGTGGCACTGGGGTGTCCTGGGACAGGGGGACACCGGGGATGGTGGCACTGGGGTGTCCTGGGACATGGGGACACTGGGGGGGGTGGCACTGGGGTGTCCTGGGACATGGGGACACTGAGTGTCCTGGGACATGGGGACAGCAGGGAGGGTGGCACTGGGGTGTCCTGGGACATGGGGACACTGAGTGTCCTGGGACATGGGGACACTGGGGATGGTGGCACTGGGGTGTCCTGGGACATGGGGACACCGGGGATGGTGGCACTGGGGTGTCCTGGGACATGGGGACACTGAGTGTCCTGGGACATGGGGACAGCGGGGAGGGTGGCACTGGGGTGTCCTGGGACATGGGGACACCGGGGATGGTGGCACTGGGGTCTCCTGGGACATGGGGACACAGGAGAAAGGAACCCGGGGGCGTCGGACTTGGGGACAGTGGGAAGGGTCCCCTGGGACACGGAGGGGGACACCAGGGGTGGGTGGCACCGGGGGACAGCGGGCAGAGGGACACTGGGACACAGGAAACTGGGGGGTGACAACAACACAGGCACTCAGTGTCACCAGGAGGTGACACCGAGGTGGGCACTGGGCACCAAGGGAGGCCTGGGGACATGGTGGGGACAGCTGGGGCTCGGGGACACTGGGGGACAGCGCGAGGTCCCCGGGGGGCGGGAGGGGTGTCGCGTTGGGGTCACCCCGGTGACACGTCCCCAGGGCCCGGGTGCCACACCCTGGGGTGCCTCAGGCGGTGCCAGAGTGTCCCCAAGAGGGGGGACAGCCGGGGCTGTCACCTGCTCCCGGCCTGGCCTGGCAGCTCCGGCGGGAGCTGCTGGGACGGTCACGGGACAGGGAGGAAACGGTGACATGTGACACGTGTGTGACATCCCCCGTCTGCTGGCTCAGCACGAGGGGGCTGGCCTGTCACCCGCGGTCACCCACGGTCACCCACGGTCACCTGGGCCCTTGTCCTGCTAATGAGGGTCGTGGTTAATTAATCGGAGCTAATTGTGGGCGAGGGGAGGGGTTGGGAGCAGGGAAGGAGGAAGAGGAAGTTCGGGGTCCTCGGTGTCCCCGGGGGGTTTGGGGACATTGCGGGGTCACAAGTGTCCCCAGGGGGATTGTCCTCACCCCGTCTGTGGTGGGACACAAGTGTCCCCAAGGAGATTGTCCCCTCCATCAGGACATGAGTGTCCCCAAGGAGACTGTCCTCTTCATGAGGACATGAGTGTCCCCAGGGGGATTGTCCTCTCCATCAGGACATGAGTGTCCCCAGGGAGATTGTCCTCACCCCATCTGTGGTGGGACACAAGTGTCCCCAAGGAGATTGTCCCCTCCATCAGGACATGAGTGTCCCCAGGGGGATTGTCCCCTCCATCAGGACATGAGTGTCCCCAAAGAGATTGTCCTCACCCTGTGTGTGGTGGGACACAAGTGTCCCCAAGGAGATTGTCCCCTCCATGAGGACACTCGTGTCCCCAAGGAGATTGTCCCTCCGTTTCCAGTGGGACCTGCATGTCCCCAAGGAGATTGTCCCCTCCATCAGGACACCTGGCAATGGGGACAACCTCAGGGCCGTGCCAGCCGCCCCTTGTCACCTCGAGGTCCCCCAGTCACGCGGTGATGCCGTTTCCCCTCCCGTGAGCCCCTTTGGGGCCAAACGGCCGCGTTTTGGGGCCGTGGGGCTGGGGCTGACAGCGGTGGCCTTCGTCCCCCAGCTCATCCTCTTCGGGCTCAGCAACCAGATGGTGGTGGCCTTCAAGGAGGAGAACACGGTGGCCTTCAAGCACCTCTTCCTCAAGGACTACGTGGACGGCGCCGACGACTCCTACGCCGTCTACACCCAGCGCGGCCTCTACGAGCGCGTCTTCTACGCCCTGGACAAGGTGGGACGGGGGGGTCTGGGGACATGGAGGGGGTCTGGGGACCTGGAGGGGGTTTGGGGACATGGAGGTGGCTCAGGGCCACCTCCAGCTCCTGAGGGCATCCCTGCTCTGCTGTTTAGCCATTCCCTGCTCCTGCACTTGGCCATTCCCAAGGAGACCATCGGCCACCGCGCCTACGAGTGGGGCTGTGGGGCTGCTGTGGGGCTGCTGTGGGGCTGTGGGGCTGGTGTGGGGTTGTGGAGGTCCTTGGGGCCACAGAGGTGCCTCAGGAACGTGGAGGTGGCTTGGGGCCACCTCTCACCCCCTGTCCTGCAGTCCTTGGCCATCCCCAACGAGACCATGGGCTGCTACACCTACGAGTGGAGACACAGGGGTGATTTGGGGCCGTGGGGATGGTGTGGG